ACAACAACTGCTGCGCTAGCCGTGTAATGTGTAACTTTCTACCATTTCTTTCCTTTCGTTCGTTCTCTAGTATAGTAACATTTATTTTCTTTCTTTTCTTCCATCTCCCTCGTGTATAAGCTCATGTTGCACATGTGTAGCGTTAAAGAATTATGTGAATGAATACTTGACCAAACAGTTACCATTCTCTCTAAAAAAAATTGGTTTTCTACTGAACCCCCAAAAAAGGTTCAGCAGCTTGACAATAGCGTCCAAATGGTTCGAGATGCTTAAAAAACGATTATTCAGTTCTACGAAACCTTTAAAGGTTCTTCCCCTTGATACACGGGCCCAACCTTCTCCTACGAAACTTTTTTTTAAGTTCCGTAGTGAAAAAAAAAGGTTCCGTAAGAAAACACGAAACCTATAGAGTTCCGTATAAGAAACTCTCAAACCGTTCAGGTTTAGTACGAAACCACTGAGGTTTAATACGGAACTCTATGGATTTTGCGTTTTCTTACGGAACCTTTTTTTTCACTACGGAACTTAAAAAAAGGTTTCGTAGGAGAAGGTTCGGCCCGTGTATCAAGGGGAAGAACCTTTAAAGGTTTCGTAGAACTGAATAATCGTTTTTTAAGCATCTCGAACCATTTGGACGCTATTGTCAAGCTGCTGAACCTTTTTTGGGGGTTCAGTAGAAAACCAATTTTTTTTAGAGTGTTGTTGTAAAGGTTTACTTTTACCAAAACAGTCATTTATATCTGTTAAAGTGACAAAGTTATTTTCTTACATAAGATATCCAGAAAGTCACTAGAGCAAAAAAAATTCAATATCTCCAATACGGCTCAACCAAATGCGCTCATTTTTAAAACAATGAGAGAGACATTCCCACTCCAAATACATAATGACGAGGTCAGTGAGAACCTTGATTAACTATCGCTACGACCTCAATAGCAAAACTTTACTTTTTCACAAGTACAGAAAAAAATCTACAGGATAGTGAAAAACGTTATACTACCGAAACGAAAATTGAATAATTACATCAAGGCTCAATCAAACCACTTGATATGTTTACCAACGGCACCGGTATGTCGACATTACAAAACGATACCAACACGGTTCCTGCAAAGCTTCGTTTACCATATTGTTTTACAGCTTTCTAAAAAGGAAAAAATTTCTCATCAACTTCCACGATTACATCTGACCACAATTCTCACTTCTATTCTAGTTTGAACATAGAATCGGCATAGGCCTCTATCATCCGTTCACATAAGAGCCAGTCCAGTCAAACCGAAATGCCCATACTAAAATTTTTCTAACTCCCATCACTTTGTGTACACGCTACAGACATATCACACAAGTTGAGCTTTTCCAGAGGATACTGTTTCCGATCCGTCACAAGCAGACAGAATCGATAAAAAACGCGTTCTTACTGCGCCCAAATGTGCGCTTTTCAATCATGCAAACACGATAAAGACCGGGTTTTTGAATGCGTCAATATGCCTTTTCCACGGATTTTATCTCCGACGCATGGAACAATCAATTCTCAATACTAAAAGACAGCTTCTCCCATTTCCCTATTTATCCCTCACTCTTCCACAAACACATACGTTTGTAGAGAATTTCAAGCTCAATCATCCCGATCGAAAAAGTCGATTATATAGGTAGCCAACAAATCGACCTTTTCTAACATATGCTGTTTTCCCGCCACCAACCAATGGCTTTCTTTCTGGTATGGAGGCGTCCTGCTTTTTCACTCCTCATCCGTGTCTCTTCGGCAACTACATAGGTTTGTAGAGAATATCAACCTCTATCTTCTCGACCGAAAAACTCGATTATATAGGTAGCCAACAAATGGACCTTTCTTAGCAAATACTGTTTCCCCACCACCAACCAATAGCTTTCTTTCTGGTATTGGAGGGGTCCTGCTCTTTCACTCCTTATCCGTGTCTCTTCGGCAGCGGCATACGTTTGTAGAGAATTTCAAGCCTTATCTTTTCAACCGAAAAAATCGATTATATAGGTAGCCAACAAATCGACCTGTTTTAGCAAATACTGTTTCCCAGTCACCGATAAATGGTTTCCTATCTGCTATTAGAGGCACTCTACTGTTTCACTGCTTATCCATCTCCCTTCGGCAACTACATAGGTTTGTAGAGAATTTCAAGCTCTATCTTCTGAACCGAAAAAATCGATTATATAGGTAGCCAACAAATCGACCGTTTTTAGCAAATACTATGTCGCCCCCACCGACCAATGGTTTTTTTATAGCATTACAGGCGTCCTGATGTTTCACTGCTTATCTGTCTGTCTTCGGCAACTACATAGGTTTGTAAAGAATTTCAAGCTGTACCTTCTCGACCGAAAAAATCGATTATATAGATAGCCAAAAAATGGACCTTTCTTAGCAAATACTGTTTCCCGGTCACCGACCAATCCTTTTTTTGTCCGGTATTGGAGACGCCCTGCTGTTTCACTGCTTATCGGTCTCTCTTCGGCAATTACATAGGTTTGTAGAGAATTTCAAGCCTTATCTTCTCAACTGAATAAACCGATTATATAGGTAGCCAAGAAAATCGACCATTTTTAGGAAATACTGTTTCCCAGTCACCGATGAATGGTTTTCTTTCCGGTATTGGAGGCACCCTACTGTTTCACTACTTATCCATGTCTCTTCGGCAACTACATAGGTTTGTAGGGAATTTCAAGCTGTATCTTCTCGAGGGAAAAATCGATAATATGGGTAGCCAAGAAATCGATCTTCTTTAGCCAATAGTATTTCGCGGCCACGGATCGATGATTTTTTTTCTGGTATTGCACCCGGGTGCATAAATCCGATGTTGGATCCTATAGGATCTTATCGGATCCGATCATCCGACAGAATCCTATAGGATTCCTGGTGACGGAATCGCATTGGAATCCGACTGTGGGATCATCATCAAATTTCGATGAGATCCGGCTGTCGGAGCTGATGTTTGTATTTGTATGGCTGTCGGATTCCGATGAAATTTGTATAAGGGCTTTGTAATTATTTTGGAACTGTTAATGACACGTTGTAGTTGTTAGAACATTCATTCAAAGTCCACTCATGCTACCATACAAAACCATACGAGATTGAATAGCTAGGATTTGACGTATCACTAAAACACTTCTGATGAGGGATAGTCACGAAGCAAATTGATAAATTCATCACGACTATATTACGCTATTATGACCACCGAAAATTCAATTTATAAGTCCCCAACAATGGGAAGGTGGTAACATACATCTAGCAGCTTTCACAGCCGATATTGAAAATTTATTTATATTATATTGGCGAATATTACAGTTGAACGAAATATGTGTGAGAAAATTAATGAGTAAGAAAGCCGTATGATATCTTCTTCAATTCAAAAGCAGATTCCAAAATTGTATAAAAGAAATTTTCAGCTCTTAAAATCACCGTATAGCGTGACATGTGAATAGATTTGTTCCGAACAGTAATTTGTATTTGCTAAAGTTTCACGATGTTATATGGCACGGTCACACATAAAATTTTATAGAATTACGTCTATGTGGAAGTTCTAAACAGATGCAAGGTTACTAGTGAAATTTTTTCGTTGTTGTGCAGTCGGTAGAAAACATCATACGGTAGTAAATTTATTTTCTAGTCACATTCGTCGTAAGTCTTATTACTGTATTTAGTCAGAGTAGTTTTCAGATACTTGAGCATAAGATCTTTAACGACTCAAACTGCATGTATATGTTGAAAAAAATATTGAATATATTGCAATATTTGTTTTTGATCATTTGAGTAATAATGTAATCAATGATTAAACCATTTCGAACATCTGTTTTCTTCTGAAATTTTGAAAGGTGGATGATTATTCGGCAAGATGAAAAACAAGATTATGAGCTTTAATCATTATCACTCAAACATTCTATTTCTTGACGCTAGTACAAACGACTTAATATCAGATGCTGTATTTATTTGCAGCAACTTTAAATTAAAGGAATTTCAAATATCTTTCCAGTTACGTCATCTATATGATCGAAAAATTTGTTTTCATCAGAGATCAGAAACTGAAAATTTATTGGTTACGAGAAAATTTTTAATTTATTGAAAATATATTAATGTAAATGAAATGAAATGAATGAAATCCAAAATCCAAAGGACTGTTATGGAAATATTATACACGTAACAATAAAAATAGCAACAGAAAATCTAAGGAACAAATATGTTTCGAGCATTGTCTTATTAATACAACCACTGTTCTCGTGTGTACCTGACTTATAGAGAAAACCCTTAGAAATTTATGTGAAATAAATTATTTTTCAGATTTATTGACATTCATTTGATTTTTTCATCATCTAATCACAATTTAATATATCGCTTTAGGTTTTGATTGAACTATCATAATTGTAATTTTTTATTATAGACTAAGTCGAATAATTAAACTTATTAATAAATTGGCTGTTTCTTGATATGAACGGCGTTTTCTAAATGGTGTGACATATATTCAATTTGATAGAAATAAACCAAAACCAAAACTTTTTCAATGATTAAAATTATATTTGGTTTAAATTAATAATAATTTCAGTCTATTGCAGTGTAGTAAAAAAGTCTTTTTCTTTTATATTTTGTCCAGTTTTATTCTGCTGACGTAGATGATTACTTTTAGAAGTTATGGTCACTGGTAAAAAATCTTTTGGAAATGTCGACTGAAATATACGATAGTTTTGTAAAAAGTGAGCATCACTTCTAAAAGTAATCATCTACCTCAAAAAATGTCATTTTAATGAAAAAGAGCGACATTTAATTCATAGAATCTCTTGGAAAAATTGTTGTATCACATCTTCTCTTAGAGTATTTTGCAAAAGAGTGTCATTCCACGGCGTCCCATGCGGAGCCCTGTTTCCTGTATTCATATCTATACTAACTAAAAGATCTAATGTAGTAAAATAAGATCCAATTAAAAATTGACATAATATACCAAATGAACATTCGGGACATAGACAAATAAATTCCCATTGATTTTCATTGGGATCTTTTCGTAAACATAAACCATTATTTTCACAATAATCACAATTACTTTGTTCATGATTAAAAATAAAACAAGCACTATTACGATCTTTAGCACAAAGACACATTCGATATTCATCAAAAAAACATCGTAAATCTGAATCATTCTTACAGGGAAGAGGATATAATTTTAATCGTTTTAAATAGGAATATTCAAATAAAATTATTTCATTATTAAATACCTCACTGATATTGCGACATAAATTTGAAGATATAACAGATGTATTTAAAATCGAATAGAGTCTTCTGTCTGGTATGACAATCATATAATAAAAACTTTTCGAATAACTTTCAAACATTCGAATAAATGCATAGCTCTGCGTCGGTCCATGTGCTTTCAAATTAGTAGGTAAGAAAACATTTTTATATAATAATCGTCTCTGGTAAAGTCCACCTGTTGATTCCGAAGCAAAGATAACTATAATAGCAGGGATAGGATTTGAATAAGATGTATTATTACTCATGGAAATATTCAAAAAGTTTTGTCTTTCCTATATAGATCAATCGGAGACAAAGTAAAGTCAGTTATTAGAAATTACCTACATAATGTTCTAAACAAAAACAAATAAATACTGTTAAATCAATTCGACCATTATTTGATACACAAATGCCATTATGGTGGCATGGATTATTTGTTGATTGACAAATTAAATGTGTTAAATAGCAATATGAACCAAATTTATGTAATGAATTTATAAATATCAATGCGAATTGAATAATTATTTGATAAAGATTTTGGTAATTACCTTCGTTTGACCCATATTCATCAATAAGCATAATGATTACTTGAAATGTAACTGTAGTAGAAGTAATACTACGCGATCGTAGTTGAATAGTTAAACTGATATGTTGATTTTGCCATTGGTAATATAAAGTCCACCTTTATTATTTCGAGAAACAATGCCTTCCAGTAAAATTGAAATATCTTTTAGCAGCGAATTGGGCTTCAGAGATGTGATTCGCCACATAAAACTCATTAATATACAGGTTTTTAATTCAGCCAATCGAAATAAAGTTTAGGGAACATCGGTCGAGCACGATTTGTCGTAGCTTATTTATGACGGTTCTTATGATAGTGATAAAATGAAGAATTTACTCAAAGAGAAAATGAAATGGTTCTCGGGAAATCAATGACACGATCAACATATAACATTCGTGAAATGATAGAAAGTATGTTCAGGTCATACTTTCTAAGGGATAGAACTCGATTAAAAAGTTCCATTTGATGATGTCAAAGAACAAACAGCTGACCGGCTTTTCATTATTGAAAATGATACACTCTTCATAGTTTATCAAAAATTTTATTTTCATGACTAAATGAATTCACTAAAGTCTTGCAAATTAAGAACATCATGAAATGCTCAAAGATCTAACAGAGCAATTTCAATTGGTGAACGCCATTTCAATTTTGCAGTGTTGAGACACACTTGATAAGTATCTACGTAGCGATTGACTTCCATCCATTCTTCCACCAGTTCTTTATATAATTTGAAAATCTTTTTGGTCATTTTGATGGGTTTCAATAAAGGAAAAAGTTCTTCGATCAGTTCTTGAGTCATTGCTAATCTTTTTGAACATTCGACAACATTATCTAGAACAGTATTGACAATATCAACGCATTGATAATTGATTAGACTAGAAGAAGAACGGACAACACCACCCCATATCGATTGAATAAGATTATGATAATTATTACAATCGATAGAATCTAATGGTTCATCTGCGATGGAACGTTGATTTCTTCTTAGAATCGGTTCACTATTAATCATCATTACAAGACATAACAGAGTGAAGAATGTATTAGTTACTGACATTGTCTTGATAACCCGTATTTGATGAAGGTTTTCATAGAGATTTATATAAATCGATTTTAAATTGTATTATTCTCGGAATCATCGTCGTCGAAAATGACGTGATGTCCAGTTAATCACTATTGATTTACTGACTCATATTTATTTCGTTTGTCATTCGATCTTTTGTCAAGAATGCTGATAACAATAATGAATAACACATTCGTCTTTCGCAGAAAAATTGAAAGGAAGAGAACATGTGTCAGCTTTATTCAAGTATAGATAGTATTGCTATTTGCTAGTATGATGAAATACTTGCAATGTAATTATCTGTTTTGCTTTGCAAAGATAGAACAAAAAGATTTTTTTCATTTAATCTGGAAATATGAGACAAATGAAATGGATGACATATTTTTGATAAGGTTTACTAAAAAGTGAATGTTCTAGGCGATTCACACACTTCTCTTCATCACTTATATCCGCACCTACCAGGGGTCCTAATGGGCTGGGCTGGGCCTAAGAAAGTCAGCCCATGGGCTATCGAGCTTTAACCCGGCCCACCCATGGTTTTCTCCCCAAAAATCGGCCCAGCCCATGGGCGCCCATGGGCCACATATGTTATTAAAATTGTTCGCATAGATAGTTTAGTTTGTCATATTGAAAAATATATAATAGACCTTACTATTCTTTTATTTCATATATTAAATTTCAAAACTTATTTTTCCAATTAATAATAAAAAAGAAGTTATGTCAATAAAAATAACAGAAAATAAATAAAAAGAAACACTAATTTCTTTATACCTACATATAATTAATACAAAAACAAATGAAGATATCAATAGCAGCATCATAAATATGCAGTTTATATTACAAGTGAAAAATATCAATAAATAAATATAATATACAAAAAGAACCTAAGACAATATAAAATAACATACTAAGGCCCCCTCAGAAACGAACTTTGCTATTTTTCATCCGATTTCAACCAAAATTCCAGAGAATGTTAGTCTTGACTAGACTAGCTTATGGTTAAAATATTTCCCCCAAATCCCAAAGACATGCACAAGTTCTAGTCAATTCATTACCCTTTACGCGGGCAAGGATTTCACAATAAGGATACGAGCTAACAAGTTCGGACGATTTTCAAGTTGTAGAGTACCCTTAGGGCTAGAACTTAACAGGCGCCGATTTTTGAATTTCCCTTTATTTGATTTTTAAAAACGTTTTTCGAAAAATATTCAAATTCGAAGTACTAATATAAATGATATATCTAAGTTTTTTTATTTTAGCAACAGAGAAATTTAAAAATCCGAGCCTGTGAAGTCCTAGGTCTACATGTCTCCTATATAATAAAAAAAATTATCACTTCTATGTCGAGTCGTTATGGAGAAAAACCAGCCCGCGTAAACTGCATGACGAAAAAACTGATTTTGAGAAAAACAGAAAATAAGTATTAGAAATCGATTTTTCCAAAAATCGCTTGATTTATATACCGGTGTTCAAGACAGGCGATAAATATGTGATCTTAATATTAAGTGTTCATAGTCTCTTAGTGATTAGTATTTAAAAAAACTTTACGAAATGCTGATGCAAAGTGAAAGCAGCCTAAAAAGGCGAAAAAGCTTGAAAGAAGCCGTGAAAATTTTTCGAAAAATCTGATGATAGGAGCGAAGTTTTACACCATACGTTCGTCAAAATCAATTTATTTTTCGATAAACCATAAATATTCTGAAAGAGGAGACTTCGGTGCATCTTCCTATAATAAAACTTCAATTTCGACTCGTCTCCGAAAAATTGGATTTTCTGAGGGGGCCTTAATTCAGTAGTTTTTTTTACTGACCTAATTACTATAATATTATAGAGTTGATCAGGACTTAATGATGTTCGACGTTCTTTAATAATAAAACCACTTGAACTGAAACATTTTTCTACTGCAGATGATGATGCAGGTATATAATGAATTTGTAGAGCAAGTTTCGATGGAACAGGAAACATTCCTTGATATTCTTTCAAAACTCAGGTGGATTTGATGACAGTTTTAATTTGTCAAGCTCTAAAGCTAAATATCTTGCTAATTCATCTGTGTGTATCGGATTATTGTCATAATCTTCATTTTCTGAACTATTATTCTCAACTTTTCATGAATTCAGATCATCATCATCTTCATATTGTTCAAGAATAGAAACTTGGACTTTACGTTTCTTTATTTTCAGGCGAAACTATATTTTCTTGTTTGGACTCGTAAATGATTCGTTTCATTTCTTCACGAATATAGCTATATTGTAGCAAATAAAAGTATTAAATTCGATTTATCGAAAAAAATTTCGGCCCATGGGCTGGGCTGGATCGGGCTGTGCTGAGGTTGGCCCAGCCCATGGTTTTCTCTTTAAAAAATTCCGGCCCATGGGCTGGGCTGGATCGGGCTGTGCTGAGGTTGGCCCAGCCCATGGTTTTCTCTTTAAAAAATTCCGGCCCATGGGCTGGGCTGGGCTTGGCCCAGCCCATTAGGACCCCTGGTGTGGGTGTGGGGTGTGGGTGTGGGGTGTGGGTGTGGGAGTGGGGTGTGGGTATGGGTATGGGTGTGGGATGTGGGCGTGGGGTGTAGGTGTGAGTGTTGCTTTCACGCATCCAGAACTCCACCCACGCCCACACCCTTGGACACACCCTACATCCACACCTACACCCAAATAGAATTGTCTTTAATGCGACAGTTTGCTGTGATATGATCATTGTATTGTTGACAATTATAACAACGTAAAATTTTGAAAGGTAGAGTGTATGGTTGGATCACGAACTACGTATTGTCATCATCTAGTAGTAATCTTTTGTTCTTTAGAATTTTGTTGACTTCTTGATTAGATGACAAGTCAATTCGTACTTTTGAAACTGGTATACCAACTTTGATGTAAATACGTTCGACTTTAATGGTTGTCAGATATTGCTTTTGATATCCGATTTAAATTCTATTAGATCCCATTGTG